TTTCTTTGGCAGAAGTTTTTCTTTTCTAAATTTCTCAGTGGTACAGGCGTGTCTGTAAAATTAGCACTTACAATGAGGCAATTCGTATTTTCTTTAAAAGGCTATTCACTTCCTGTAGCGAAAGAGAACAATCTAAAGCATGTTTTTTTTTTTAAATTTATAAGTATTTCTTACTAGTTTAAAAAATTTAGTACCAAGAAAAATAAAAAAATTCTGTGATCTAGAAGAGAGAGTTAACAGGTAGCTGTTTTTTAGAGTTTAATTGGAAAAGCTGATCAATATTTAATGAACCCATTGCTTCCCTAAAAATCGTTCTTCTCGTCAGAATTCTACTGAAGGTCCTAGGAAAAAGATCATGTACAACAATTGAAGAAATGTTTTTTTCTTATTCTTCTCACTATCTTCCCATTTTTAGCAAGGCAAGTTGCTTCTTCTTTTTTTCAGAAAAATAAATAAATAAAAAAATTTGCTTGTTTGAAAGCCGGTAACTGCAATTTCACATTAATTGCAAGTAATTTAGCTGTGAAACTCTGAAGCTAATCTTAAAAGCAGTCATCAAGTGAAAATTTACATCAGTGACGATTGTAGAAAAGTAGATTCAAAATAATTCCAGCACTCATAAACCGAGTTTGGCAGCACAAGTAATTTCTGGCTATTCTCTAAAACTACTTTTATTATTTTATCGGAGTTTGAGTGACGTATTTTTTCTCATTAGATAAACTGGAAAATCTAACCTTTTCCACGTTGGCAAAGAAAAACCATTTTGAGTCTGACATTGGCAATGGTGCTAAGCACTCAGAAGTCGAGAAGTTTTATGTAGCCAAAATGTACTAAAATTGACAGTTTGAAAAACCACAAGCCTTCACGAATTTCTCGCTGATAGCAGCATTATCAAAGGTTGTTAACATATGAAATGCTACCACAATCCGGGAAAAGATCAATGACAAAAAAATTTTTATGATTTTATACAATTAAGGGTTTTACATGAGAGCTGTCTAACGCGAGAGAAGTCTTCAGCAGGCAGTTTATTTCTCTGCATAATTTTAGAAAGCGAACCCACTTTTCAGAAAAGCTTACAAAGGATCGTCGAAGATTTCTAAAATTTCTTTTATTTTTATATCGCTAAAGTATTAATTTAACCTATCTCCAGTTTTTAGTGGACGTGTGGCCATACAAGATGCGTGGTCGCCAAATGTAATTTAATTGCAGTTTTTTTCTGACTTGATAGGTTACTGAAAAGTGTGCGTATGAATACCTGTTCAAAAAGCACAGCTGAAGTTGAATTCAGATATAACACAAGATTTAGCAGGTGAATTAAATACAAGTTCAGTACAGTTGCAGCAGACCATTAACTGATTCAAGTATTTTATTTTCTTCATCGCTTATTTTTTTGAGTCTTATTAAGCGTTTTTTGATATTAGTGTTTATGAACCAGGTATACGTTATTTTTATATTTCTCTAGAAAGAGAAGAAAAATTAGTGAAAAAGGTTTTCCTGCGACTATGAATAACACTACTGCAATTAGCAGTCATCTGTCATCTGCCCATAGCATGACTACTCACTTTTGTAGCTCAAATTGCTTAGAAGAGACTTCCATTAAAGATAAGATCAGCTTAGCCAGTGTTACTGACGGCAAAAACCACTTCAACCACATAAAACTGCAAGTTATTCAAAGACGGTTCTTCTTATTTGCTGCGTTTGCTGCAACTGCTGCGTCCCAAGTTTTAGGCAGCTAAGAAATAAATTATTATCAGTTGGTTTCTGCGTGTCAACCATCGTTGCTTAGAAATTTTAGCTCACTTTCTTTAATTAGTTAAATGACATCAATATAAATTTTGATTTAATTGTTAAAATATAATTGGTACATTTTCTAATTAAAGTTACATCTGTTAAATCTGTAAAGCTTTATTGCAGAAGTTTAAATTGTTCTAGATAACCGCCACTTTTCTACTACTCTCGCAAAAAAATTTAACAGAAATTGTTCCGCAGTGTTGTAAATTTACATTTTGAAAAAATGAAACTGATTTAACTTTTTAGTTCAACAGCTTCAAAAGTTACAAGACTGTATTTCTGTTTCAGATTTACAGTAATTTCTGTATTTATAATTCAATTTGGTCAGCGTAAACAATTTCTGGTAACTTTCTAAAATTGCTCTTATCACTTTATGAGGCTTTTACTATTTCCTTTAAATAAACAGTAAAAATTAACTTCTCCTGCCCTGGCCGAAACAAACTATTTTAATTCTGACGTTACTAAGGATGCAAAATACAGAGAAGCTCAGAAGTTTCATTTTAATCAAAGTGTAGTAAAAATGAAAAATAGAAAAGCAACAGAGCTTTGCGAACTTCTCACTTCTACTAGAATTGTTTACGGTTGTTAACAAATAAAATGACAGCAATAATACAAGAAAACAAAGAGAAAGTTGTAAAAAAAAACTTTTATAGTTTTACACAATTATCAACATTAACTGAGAGCCACTTGAGAAGGGGAAATCTTTTGACTTGCATTTGAGTTTTTTACGCGATTCTATAATTCAAAACTGTGATTCACAAGAACTTTCAGAGCATTTTTCGAAGAAAAAGCCAACTGTAGAATGTATTGCGTCTGTGAAGTAGATTGAAAGCAGCTAAGTGTGCTCTGGTTTTT